AGGATACATAAAAACAGAAAATGTATTAACCCGACTAACACACACACACACACACACACACACACACACACACACACACACACACTCAGTAATAATGCACGTCTTGTACCACTTAATAACGCTTGCACACTGCATTTTTCAGAGGGCTGATCTTTACGGGGACCACATGACTCTTCGGCTCTATCAGTAGCTAACTTTACTACACCGGCCTCCCTTTGACCTTTAGTACAGTATTGACAGAGCTCCGCCTTCACATTCATTCAGTCTGATACAGTTACAGGGAGCAACACCAACAGTCAACACCAACAGCTCATTCATCTGTTCTGAGAGTCTCAGCAGGAATGGAGCTAAATATGGAGCAGCAGGAGGAGCATGAGGATGCATGCAGCAGAGCAAAGAATGAGCCAATCACAGGCAGATTTAGTTTTATATATTAGAAAATACAAGGATGGACCTTAAATAAAATAAAATAAATACATTCAAATAGTAGCAGACAGATGTCCAAACATGCATGGAAACACATGAAAAGTCAATATTTGATATAAACACGTTTATTCTGCAGCTCTGCCTGAAGCCCTTTTCTTCTAATTTCTTTATGTAGTCTTTATGAAGCGCCTTGAGGCGACTTATGTTGTGATTTGGCGCTATATAAATAAAATTGAATTGAATTAAATGAAAAGATGAGCAGCGTCTGATCTGCCTAAAGGTTGAGTACTTCAGCCTTTTATGTCTTTGTGAGTTCAAGAAGATTTGGAAACATTTCTCTCTACTTTCAAACCTGTCATTTTATACATTAGCATTTGTTTTTCAATGTCCTCTATAACAAATTTTCTGTAGATTAAATTTCTTTACTGTTAACCCAGGGGCGAGGGAACTCCAGGCCTCAAGTTCTGATGTCCTGCAGGGTTTAGATGTGTCCTTGATCCAACACAGCTGATTTAAATGGCTAAACTACCTCCTCAACATGTCTTGAAGTTCTCCAGAAGCCTGTAATGAACTAATCATTTGAATGAGGTGTGTTGACCCAGGGTGTTAAACCTGCAGGACACCAGCCCTTGAGGCCTGGAGTTCCCCACCTCTGGGTTAAGAGGCTATCATGGGATTAATTTTTGTATTTTTGCTCATATTTTCCTAAAAACTGACTAATGTCATGCTGTAACTTCGATTTCCCAAAATCGTTCAGCACAGTTTGGCAGTAATTTTAGCAAAAATGGCAAAAACGTTGCTGTTGTTTGTATGTAGTCACTGAAAAAACCCGTGTGATCAGATTTTGTCCTCACACAGAAACTGTGTGTTTTTCAGGTTAGACCTGTGTGTTGGATGTGGTTCAGTTTATTGTTGGTCGTCAGAAAGAAAACACGTGGTGCTGGGATGTGGGCCACCTTCAGCTTGTGTTCAGTTTAATAGATAGAGTTCATTTAATTCACAGTGCAGTCTGGATTTTACTGACACGCATAAACTCAGAAATGTTTGTACAAACAGAAGCTCGAGTCTCTATGACATAATTATTTATTGTGCAATGAAAGTCATCAAATGTACAAGAATAGAAACAAATGTTCTGTTGTGTGCTTCAGTCTTTGTATACTTCATGTATAGCAGCAGTCGGATGGTTTATACAGGCTGAAGACCAACAGTGTTTAACAGTGTGTCAGAATAGTCACACAAAAACTACAAAGTATAAAAGATAAGAGAATTTAATAAGCCAGGCCTGCGTCAGATTGGCGACTTGTCCAGTAGCCTGCCCCTCAGTCTGTGGTAGCTGGGCTAGCCTCCCACACGACCCTGATGAGGATAAGCAAAAGAGGATGGATGGATAGTTCAACATCATAACACATGTTTCAGTGAAGTGCATGCGTGCATGCATGCAGTTGCAGGCTAGCTCTCAGTGCCCTGCAGTGTCAGAGAAGATTAGGAAAATATCTTTGATGCATTTACAGAAGAAACAACCAAAACAGTTTTGTGAGGATCTGTTGCAAAATGACACATTTTCTTTGATTAACCAGGAGAAAGTATGAGTGAGCATCTTTATGCATCATACACCAGCAGAAAAAAAGAAGCTGTAAATGGTGACTAGACTTTAATGACCCCAGTCAGCACAAATAGAAACAAAGAGCTTTAATGATCTTATGCTTTCATCTCTTTCTGTTAATAAACGTGTTGTTTTCCACCTGCTAAACTCTCCCTGTGCTCTCGTCCTCTGCAGGTCTGGGTTATGCCTCCATGGTGATTGTGTTTTTCTGTAACACCTACTACATTATGGTGCTGGCCTGGGGCTTCTACTACCTGATCAAGTCCTTCACCGCCACACTCCCGTGGTCCTCCTGCAACAACGAGTGGAACACGCCCAGCTGCATTGAGATCTTCCATCACCAAGACTGCAAAAACGCCAGCTTTGCCAACATCACCATCGGCAGCAGCAACATGACCTGCGCCGACCTGGCCGACGCACGATCGCCCATCATCGAGTTCTGGGAGTGAGTTTTAAATCTGAATGTTTCCAACTATTTCCTATTACTGAGGTTTGTTTTATAGAATATTCACAGAAGTATTTGTGACGTGTTATAATGGCTGAATGCAGCTGAGAGCCACAGACTAAGCAGGAAGGTAAGAATTAGAGATGGACTAACACATTGTTGGTGTGAATGTGATGACAGAGAAAATAACAGCAGACGTGTCCTGTAGTTATAGATGAGAATGACGCACTCACAGATGTGACGTGCAGCTTGTGAAGCTTGCAGCTCCTTTAATGGCCACTGGAGCTATTTTCAGCTCTTCGATCATCATGAAGGCTCACATGTGCTCCTGTTTGTGGTGAGGCTGTGTCGTCCTGGCACCTTATTAACACAACAGAGCAGCTAATGAGGTGAAGAGATGTTTGTCAGATGACTGAGCTCGTTAGATTTTCAGTTTCGAGTCAGTCAGCAGCGCGCCGGCTCTGAGGAACGAGGTGGCGATGATGTTAAAAGACTGTGAATGTTAAAGACTGTGAACGCTGCTGAACGCTGCTGCTCTCAGCCAAATATAGAGTGGTGTGTGTGTGTGTGTGTGTGTGTGTGTGTGTGAGAAAATAGGCCCCCTTTAGTCTTTTTTTTTTAACATCGGCACAGTGTTTTCCACCAGCTGTCTTTTGCTCCCGTGGAAAGCACAGATCTGCTCTGTGACTCTGACGCTGGGCTCTTTGTGATCTTCTCTGCGCAGAAACAAAGTGTTGAACATCTCGTCTGGTCTGGACGAACCGGGGAAGATGAACTGGGAGCTCATTTTGTGTCTGATGGCTGTCTGGGTTCTGGTTTACTTCTGCGTCTGGAAGGGAGTCAAATCCACCGGGAAGGTAAAACGTTGTTTTTTTAAATGGAGTCCCAACCTGTGTCTAGCACTTAGTGTCACCTTCCCTGTTATATAACATATTAATATTATTATTATTAACTGAGGATCAGATCAGAACATCTGCATGTGAATGAGTCTGTGTCCAGATTATTATAACGAACCAAAACCAATTAAAAATCATAACTAGATGTGAAAAAACCCACATCCAGCCTGAAGAGGCTTTGGTGCATCTTCGATGTCTCACATCGATTGTTGTCTTGTCTGAATTGTTTAAATTCTGCACCCATCAAACACACCCTACAATACTTTTATATACCACCCAAAGAGACTAACACTAAACATGTTTGCTCAGCACAAAAGTGAACTGAAACGAGCAAACCCACTCTGGAAACTAACACAACTGACAATGAATCAAAGTCAAGACGTCAGAATAAAATCGCAATAACAAATTTTAAAAAACCCACAAAACTCAAACAACTCCGGTCGGTGTCCCAGGAAAAGTTTACACAGTTAAGAATAAACAGAAAAGTCCCACGAAGGACACACAAACTGAAACGTGTCGAACAAGTAAACGTTAAAAATGTGTTCCAGTTTAACCTTCGAGTGACCGAGTCAGCTTGTTGTGACATTTTTAATCATCAGAACGTTTCCTGCCGCCAAGCTGGTAAGTTGGACGATGAAATGAAACGGCTATGATAAACATAACGTAGAAAGTGCTGCAGGAAGAAAGGGAACATGTTTAATGTCCTTTATGAACCCTTTCAGTCATTTTAGTCGCTACGGTGATTTGTTTGCTTCACGATCAGGAAATAGACTTGATCTTGAGTGCTTGAAGAGAAAGTAGCTGGACTCCTCTTTGGCTCGTCATGTTTGACTAACAGCTGATGGAGACTCCCAGTATTTATCCCTGTCACCGGGGAAAAGTGCTCAGACTCGCTGTAGATGGCTCATGGTTTTGTTTGATAAGCCGCCATCTTTGCTCATCACTTGTCCTTCACAGTGGACATAGATGCCCCTCTTTATTCCTCAAACCATCTTCCCAGTTTTAAATTAAAACAATTTAGCATCTTCAAAAGAGCGTCCTCTCTCCTTAAAGGTCAGATTGAGTCATTCTCATAGATTATTTTTTAACATTTGCAATAAAACTGAAGATACGGAGATCTTGTCTGACTTTAAAAAGCCACTGTTTGAATAATTCTTTACAAAAAGAAGTCGAACAGAGAAGACTTGGTGCTTCCTGCTGTCATCCATGTCCCCTAACTAAGACAATATGTGTGAAACTTTGTTCCCTGAAACTAACTGACCATCCTGAGTTAAAATGTCATTACCACATCACACTGTGACGATCAGGACGGTGGAAAAAATACGGGACTGTTCCTTTAAAACTACAACCTTCAAACGACGTGTGTGTGTGTCATCGGATTGTGATGACGAGACTGTACACGGTGCCGTCAGATGGCAGGCTAAGAGTTGCTATGACTACCCTAGAGGTAGTGGTGGTGGGGAGGAGAGTGAGGGGGTGTGTGAGGTGGCGGCATGTGATTGGTTGTCTGGTAGGAGGGCAGCTGACTGCAGTGGGACGTGACTGAGAGCCACTCGGAGAGCGAATGCCCCCCTTTCCTGTACTGTAGGAAAACTCCACTCGGGGACAAACGGGGACATAAAAAATCTGTCCTGGAATTCGACCCAGATCAGCAGCGCAGGAGCACCAAGCTCTCTCTGCATCACTGATAACCATACAGATGATTTAGCTATGAAATCACACAAACTTCATTTAAATTTTTTAAATGGTTCAAAAAAACCATTCTCACTAAAGTTCAACACACAGAACTCTGTAGTTATTCAGATAGTCAAAATGATCGAAACAATTAAAGATTTCATTTTCTTGTTTTATTTTCGCTTGAAAAAAAAACAGAGTGTACTTTATGTAAACAAGGTCTGGTGGCCCTAAAATGTATAATGTAGGCTAGATTTTGTGTTAATGTGTTGGTCTTAAGTAAAACTAAGGTGTAACACTGAATTGATTGACAATTTATACTTTATATTTTAAAAAACACTCAAATGAAGTGGGGTCATTTTTGACCCCTGAGGACCACAGGTGCAAGGAAATCGGGAGCACATTATGAGGGTTAAACAGCACCTTTAAAAAGAGAGTAAGGTGGGGCCTTTGCCTTTAAGGTCTGGACAAAAATAAAGACGAGACAGGAACAGAAAGAGAGAAGGACAAAGAAACTGTGCTGGAGTTGGTGAAGCCCCCAACCATGTAGAAAGTTTTCTACATGAGGGAAAACTACTAAACGTGCATAAACACCTAACAGTAACACAGCTCACTGTTACCAGTTAGAGGCCCAGAGGATCTTATTAGCCACGGCTGCGGGGGAACACCCTTCAGAGTGGCCACGCCCCTAATCCAATTATCCAGGTTAAGTTATTACAAATAAATGAACCTTTGAAAGCGTAGGCTGTAAACATGTTTATTTTTACTGTAAGGTTAGATATTTCAGCACTGCTGGAGTCTGCCTCAAGTGGCCATGAGAGGAACTGCATTTTTGGTGGCTTTGATTTTCTTTTGACCCTGGATCTGGTTGTTTGGTCAGCAGTAGGATGATGTGTCGTCTCTTTTGGTCGAGTGTACCAAATGATGAAGATGCCAGAAAGGAGGAAATCCAATATTAGGGCAAAGAGAAGAAAGAGTAGCTAGTTTGCTAGTGTCTCCTGAGGGAAATGTTACCCAGCCTTCTGGTTTGCACTGAGATTCATGACTGTGGTTTCCTAAAGATTACAGAGGACCTGTTATTCTATGACTGTGCACAATGTTTTGAACATGGGCAGAAATCCTTCTGAAAGACCTCTGGTGTATAAAAGTGCACTTCTCATAAAATAAAACTAAATGTAACATTGAGGCAAACAGCTGCCAAACAGAAGCAGTCTGACATCAGAGCCTCTGACGCTGGAAGCAGACAAACACAAATGAGCACAGAGGAGTGAGTCACGCCTGTTCGTGTGCCGACTTGGCAGGAATAATATTAAATGAGAATAGATGAGAATAAATATTTGAAAGCCTGAGTGCATGACTGCCATTTATCCCAAAACACCACCGCTGATGCACAGACAGAACTTTATGATACATACTCCTAAAGTTTAGAAACAGAGCAGCCCTTTGAATGGCTGTTATCATTCCTGCATCACCAGCAGGCTGGCTCTTTCATAAACAAGGAGGCTAATGAGTTTTAATGACTTTAATTCATGGTGGACCTGATGGTAAACTAAACGGGAATAATGGGAATGAGAAATGAGTGTTTCTCCTTTGAAAGATGAACAAATGTCTCTCCAGGTAAGCAGGAAAGGTGACATAGATTCGGTGACTTTTACCCAGGTGGCATCTTTGGCTGCCTGGTTACTGTATTTGGTTTGGGTTAAATTGGGCCCTTTTACAGCAGTGACAACGTATTCCCAAGCACCAGCTTCAAGGTCATGATAGTGACGACTTCAAGTAGATTTTATATGCACTTGAGTACATAACCTCTTCAGATTCTCACCATTATCTGGACTGCTCTCCATTTATCATTAATTGGAAAGGATGATAGGACACTTTTTGAAGTACAAGCACAGGTACACAAAGTGTCTTCTCTCTATGGGACGGCAGATAAGAGGTATTCAAGGAGCTGATAACTTAGAGTACATAACAAACCATCCCAAATTTATTTTGAGCACCAAGGATCTGATTTTTAATGCACATAAGTTAAAGGAAGAACTTAAAGTCTTACAGAAGATCTGCAAATGCTGTTTTTTGTTAATCTCTTACAGTAAAATTGTGAATCTCTTGATGTCTGATGTTAACAGGACAAATAACAGAAAAACCATCAGGATACAGGATGGATTTAACTGGAACCCACAAATAGAACTTTTTCACCTTAAAAGGTTTTTAATATTTTCTTTGTAAGTTTTAAAATAAAACTTCATGGTGTTAAAAAGTCTGAGATCAACACTGAAAACTCTGCTGTTTTCTATTTGTTTCGCTTTAATCCCAAAATATTTACTTCCTGCTGAAAACGCCAGCTGACCGTTAAGTCTTTGACAGATCTGGAAGAATTTCAGGATATCCCGCTGTTTGCTCCACCCCCTTTTTCCTTTAATGTCAGCAGTATTAGAGCTGCACGAACAGTACCAGCTCTAATCATGTTGTCCTTGCACGATCTGACAACAAAATAAAACTACTTCTGCAAGCGCAGGAAACCGCAGGCGATATTCTACAGCTGATTCATTTGGACTGTGTTGTGATTTAGAGGTAAAGTGTGTCTGATGTGCTAAAAACAGGAAGCTGGCATCTGATATGATCCATCTCCACCTCCTGGCTTCTCCGCTGTGTTTGTGCTGTTGGAGCCTTTTGAAGCATTTTTAATGGAATCATCTCTTGGCTGGCTGTGCAGCAAAAACATCTGTGCTTGCCGTTCAAATGCAGAATCCAGAACCAATGGGTGGTGTCACAGTGGCTATGCCCCCCCTTAAACACAGTATCTGGCTCCAAGGAGCTTCTTGTGATGTCAGGAGTGTTTTTAGAGTTCAGGTGTGCAGGAAAGCCCAAACGAGCCAGCACGCTTTGGTTTTTACGCAGTTCTCCGAAGCTTTTAGTTGTGTTACAGCTCTGCTTTGGATCCAGGGTTTGAGAACTTTGTGCACCACCCTTTTACTAACTTTCAGTCCAACAAGAAAAGTTCCTCTTTTCTCTGAATAACAGTCAGACTTGTGACACTTTCTCTTAGTTCTGCTTTAAACGCAGTGTTATCTGAGCGCTGCTTCAGTGGAAGGGCTCAGACTTATTTCATTGATTACCTGGAAACAGAGACCAGGACTTCTTTTGTTTCTGGATATTTTCATTTATTTCCGTGTTTACATAAAAATGTGACAGACCTTTTATGTGCTCGCAGACTTTTTGACCCAGAGAACAAAGGGAAGTGAATCATGCTCTTTGAAAACTAACCAGCTGCTGTCAGGTGGTGTTAAAAGCGTGATTAATGAGAAGAACATCTAACAGTGTAGGAGTGTTTCTGAAAAGCTGGAACACAGTGTTGCTGTCGAGTTAAAGGTCGTCATAACAAGCAAACACACATCAGTTTTGTTATTACTCCATTTTGAAAAGGAAATCGCACTAAGCTGCTGCAAAACTAGAGCACGTAAACCGCATTAACCTCTGACACACATCAGTAAACACACACTCGCACACCCTCGACACACACGTTCCCAGGATCAGATAAATGGCTTTTTCTTCTCTTTTTTTTTTCTTGTTTTTACTGCTTCAGTTTAGGGTGTTGCCAAAATGACCCAATCAAAAACAGCTTCACTTATCAGACTGAGCATGTGCAGTAGAAACCTCTGCGCTCACCTGAATAGAGACGAATCCAGCAGCTTGTTTCTGTGTTGCATTCATGAACCCCGTGTCCTCATATTATCTGGGTCAGCTGTGTCTTCACAGCAGTTTGATGAAGTGAATGTAGAAGATGTTCAGTGAAAGGGCTTTTAAGTCCGCAGGCTGGACTCTGCAGGAACTTCCTGTTGGTTTTTATTTAATTATAGATAGAAATGTTCTGCCGTGATCCGGGTCAGGTTGCAGAGATACCCAGACCTCCTCCAACTCTTTAGGGTGGGGTTCCCAAACTAGCAGCGGCTCTACTTTGAGCACCTCATGAATGAAAGATCATCCACACAGGATGAGAGTAGTAGTGACGTAGCAACCGTAGACCATGTGACGTGAGTAAAAATCTGAGGAAAGAAGAGCGGGCGGGTCCAAAGTTAGCGTTTTCTCTATGTTGAGGTAGGGAGCTGCCAGCGAGACATGGTGACAGTGCTGATTCAGTTATGATGGGGGGTAAATACACTAAAGAGCTGCCTGCAGAACTAGAGCCTGGGATGTCTGAAGTAAGAGCGCTGATGCTTTCCAGAGGAAGCTGTTTTCACGCTTGTACTCTGAGTCTTATTGTTTGGTCACGCTGCAACCAGGCTGTGACAGTTCATTTCTTACACGCTGAAGAGAGGAAAGTTTGTTTTGGTCCCTTAAATGTGAAAAACACTCAAAACCAAATCCTGACATGTTAGTTTTGGGACACAGGTTCACACGGTGTGACCTAAACGTCGAGCTCCATTCATGGGGTAGTTTACACACATACGGTATCTCTTATGTAAGAGTCTGTGTGTGTTTGTGTTTTTAGTCTCATGGCAAGTCAAGCCGCGTTCGCAGGGCTCTCAGTACCACCAGAAACATTATCTGCTGCTTGTCTTCAGCAGGAGGCTGAAAGCTGAGCATCAGGTCAGAGCAGGGCGAGACAGCCTGAGACACACAGAGAGAAAAGAGAGAGAGACAGACAGCCGATCCAGTCACAAAGGCAAGATGTCTGCTCTTAAAGGAAACATTCGTTTGAATTATAAACCCACATTTAATTGGGCGTAATGTTCGACTTTTTCATTGTAGATATTAATCTTGTTTACAGTAAAGTAAACAGGCAGAGCAGACAGTAGAGACGAGTTCTGACATGACTATGTGCTTGACTGAAGTGTGACCTCGGAGTATTTGATCGTGAGAAATGCCCACAGTCACCTTCGGCCCCAGAAAATAAGATCGCAGTGGGATTAAAGCTGAAGTGGAGTCTTGGATATGTGGAGCCACAAACAGACCCCTGGGTGATGGCGCGGTGGCTACATGCATGTTTTGTCTTTGTTACTATGAACATGTTTCTGTTACACCCTTGTCCTTACATCCAGAGATTTCTCTCTTTAGTGTCACGTGACTGTCGGATGAACAGGCTTCTTTAAAAGACCCAAAGTGAGACGACTCGTTAGCAAACCGGCCTACAGATCCTGGCATTAATCATGCTGCATATACAGAGATCTGTTGATTTATCAGTGAGATCAAATTTATATCAGTTTACATAAAAGTATCAGGATTAAAAGAACTCCTCGTGATGAACGAATGCAATGAAAATGAGAATAATATGCCAGAAATGGCTGAATAAGCAGAAGATCAAAAGGTCATGTGCAAGCTTTAAAAATATGAATCGCTTTGAGAAACGTTTCAAACAGACGACTGAAATGTTTTTTCTGATTCCTTAACACACTGAACCGAACGACCTGAGCTTCACACTGTGAGTGTGCGTCAACCTGAGAAGGTGCTCCGCTGTGATTGCACTGACACTCGACCCTAACTGGGACCCGGCGCTCTCCGTGGTGCTGAAATGCCACATTCCTCCGTGTGTGTGTTCTGTCTCAGCAGGTCTCAGATCAGGTTCATTTTGCTTTCCTCTCATTTGTTTTCGTTACCTGATTCTCATGGATTTTTTTTTTTAATGGCAGAAACCCCCTGGAGATTTTTAGGTCAGGAAACAAAACCCCTTCTTCTTCATTCCCCCTATGTAACACAAATTCACTTACCTGATTTTGATTAGGTAAATGACTTTGTGTTACTCCAATTCTGCAAACATAAAACCGTCAAACGGACGAAAGTTCACTGTGCATTTATCTGCAGGTGAACAATGAGACCGTCTAACCTGCTTGTTTCACAGGCAGGTGATTAAAAACAGACAAAGAGTTTCTAGTTGAAGCTTTGACAGACTGATGGATTCAGTGAAAGAAGTGTGTGTGTTTTATGATAGTATGGTTGTGTTTCAGATTGTGTACTTCACGGCCACCTTTCCCTATGTGGTCCTCATCATCCTGCTGGTCAGAGGGGTGACCCTGCCCGGAGCCTACGATGGCATCATGTACTACATCAAACCCAACTGGTCCAAACTGGAGGAGGCTCAGGTCAGTTCATCATCCTGAAATCTCACTTACAGGCAGACTTTGTCATTGCATGGGCCAGTTTGAATCACTGGGCCTCTCCTTCTGATATTAAAGGGTCTTCATTATAAAATTATGAATTTTAGTTTTTGTCATGTGCGTTCATGGTGAATACACCAGCAGGATTGTCTTTAGGTTGTTTAGGTAGAAGTTTTAAACCTAATGTAGGGAGTAGAAAACCGAGATATTTGTGTTAAAACATAAAAGTAACAAAGTGGCGTAAAAAAGAAATACTCAAAGTACAGATACCTGCAGTATTTGTACTTCGTTACTTCGCTCCTCTGTTGGGGTGGGTGAAGCACCTGAAAGTGCACGAGTGGGAGGTTTAAATCCAGTTTCAGGCTGTCGGGCTGGCTGTTGTTTTTTATGGCTTGAGCATCCAAGATGCTGCAGCGTTTGTAAATGTTTGCATCAAACATCAAACCCATGTGACTCCACAGGTGTGGATAGATGCTGGCACTCAGATCTTCTTCTCCTACGCCATCGGCCTTGGTGCTCTGACCGCTTTAGGCAGCTACAACCGCTTTAACAATGACTGCTACAAGTACGACACACACACACACGCACACTTCACCAACTCCTTCAACCTCAGTCATCATATCTAAACCCTGTAAATCTTTAAATTTACTCCACCTTAAACCTGATTGTGCCTTGTTTCCTCTCCTCTTCCTCACAGAGATGCCTTCATCTTGGCGCTCATAAACAGCGGGACAAGTTTCTTCGCTGGCTTTGTGGTGTTTTCTATTCTTGGCTTCATGGCTGCGGAGCAGGGAGTCGACATATCGCAGGTTGCTGAATCAGGTATTTACTCACACCGGACCTGTTCTAATAATTTCCTCCAAAGCACTTTTTTATTTTTGGGCTCTATTTTACACGATTCACAGTGTAAATGGTAAATGGCCTGTATTTATATAGCGCTTTATTAGTCCCTAAGGACTCCAAAGCGCTTTACATATCCAGTCATCCACACATTCACACACTGGTGATGGCAGCTACATTGTAGCCACAGCCACCCTGGGGCGCACTGACAGCGTATTAAAATGATTATTTTAATACGCTGCCCTTCAGTAGACCTTCAGTTCATCTGCTGTTTTAGCTCCTCCCTATAAACGCTCTCAAAAAGCTAACATCCATCTGATTGGCAAACTTCCAGAAGCCTACAGAGGGGCAGCACTGAGTACTGGTGTCCATGCTGCGCAGAAAGAAATAAGAGCAGGCTGAAACCTGAGCTTTGAGCTCATGGGGATTACTTTTACATAAGTGCACAGTGCTATTTGAACCATGTTCAATATAAACATAGAACATAGTAACATTATACACGAAACATGAGATAAAAAAAATCAGATCATCTAAACAAACGGTGTCGTTGGTGGTGCTCTCCTATTTCGACCCCAAAGCCTCTGAGGCTGGTTTAACAAAAATGCATCATACTGAGCTTTAAATATAGATGGTAACTGGACTGGTTCTTACATAGTGCTTTTCTACTCACTGAGCACTCAAAGCGCTTTATACAACTCCTGCAATCACACAAGCACTTTATCTAAGGTTTTTTTAGTGCTTCTATCTAACATTCACTCACATTCACACTCCGATGGGGTGCATCAGAGAGCAACATGGGGTTAGTATCTTGCCCAAGGATATTTGGCACGTAGACTGGAGGAGCCGGGGATTGAACCACCAACCTTCCAGTGAGTAGGTGACCAGCTCTACCACCTGAGCTGCTGCCACCCCACTGTGCTTTGGTTTTCCAGCATAACGAGGGTAACTGTTATGCTGGAAGTCAGATTGTTAGTTGTAAAGACGGAGGATGAGCAGCATCTCTGCATCACTTCTCGGGAGGAGAAACGAGACCAAGAGAGTTTCACTGTAACGATGCATTAAAATACAAAAAAAATATCCAAATCTTTACTCTCTGTCTCACACTTTTGGATGTGTTATACATGCATATAGAAGCAGCGCTTCCATCCACTGTGGTGCATGTTCCAGCTTTGATAATCCTTGTTTTAAGAGCCAATCACAATCCAGATTCTAGGAAAAACAGGAAGGGGAAAAAAGCGTCAGGTCACATGAGGTCAGCTGATAATTGTGTAGCCTCGACGATTTCAAATGGTGGTTAAAAAAATAATGATTACAGAAGGATTCACTGCACTGTAATGAAGACCTGAATGAACCTGTGCGTGCGTGTGTGTGTGTGTGTGTGTGTCAGACTCCAGCCAGCAGTGTGTATTAATAGCTAAGCATCACGTGACGTGGCATCACAAACACACCGTTATATTTAGCTTGTCCACAGAAGGCTGCAGCTCTGAGCGGCTGTTCGGATCAAAGCTTTTCATTCAAACTTAATGAAGACTTTATGTAACCACAGAGCTAATGTTTACAGCCAGGTGAGAATAGTCACATGACAGTTCTTTGGCTATTTACACCTGGCCTCCTCAGCCCCCAGATAAAGAGCAACAGTCCTGGTGGAGGCGTGGTTGTGATAAATATACAGTTTATGATAAACGGCCAAGAATTCTGAAAACTGCAATAACTCAAGAACAAAGCGACGAGGATTTTCAGTTTGATGCTGTTGATGTGTTCAGGAGGCTGAGCTGTAACACTGTTAAACTAAAACTGATCATTTTTCCGTCCATCCATCTGATGCCCGGATCTCCAGCTCTTCTGGAGGGATACTGAAGTGTTCCCGAGCCGTCTGATAGACACGGTGTCAGCCTGCCCTTGATATTTCAACTCTCCCACTTGGAGCAGTAACTCCACCCTTTTCTGACAATCATACTCTGAGACTTGGAGGTGCTCAATCTTTCAGTCCGCCTCATTTCTGTTGTTCAGATTTATGAGCAGTTGAGAATATTTAGGTTCATTTAAGGTTCAATAACATCAGCGTTACTGACTCACTGATTTATGGTTGTTATCGACCCTCTTATTTATGACTTTGGTCAGGTGAAAGCAGCGTGATCGATATTATTATGGAGATTTTTAAAAATTTCACTCTGGGTTGGTAATAATCAAAATTAGTTTTATTGTATTTCAATTTCTCATTCATAAATTTTCAAGCCTCAGCGGTTAAACCAACAACACTACAACAAAGCCTCATCCAAGGTGTGGCATTAAAAGCATCTTATTTTATCTAGTTGCTCTAATGGTAAAGTACAAGTTAAGATTATATATACACTTTATCCCAAATTATCATGCACTGTTTATCAGAAAAACTGGGATGCCAAATCAGTCAACACACCCTGTAAGAAACTAGCTTCAATAAGCTATAATAGCTCAATAAAAGTAATATAATAACGTTTAATAAAAAGGCTCAATAAGGTGAAGCTTGTACAACAGACAGGAGCTCGGTCATACAGAAATAAAACTGCTTTATAAGTAAAAGATTAAATAACATTCAGAAGAACAACATTCAAACCAATCAATCGAATGAAGTTATTCTTTAATGTAAAACAAACAAATAAACTAAAACAAAACAGAAGATGGATCGCTGTGTTCCTCTCATGTGTGACTATAATGAGATGTGCATTAATGAGTCACTAAAGTCTTCATCATGTTCTCATTTCATCTGCCTGAAAATATTTTCGTGTACCTCTCAGGAATGGTGTGTGTGCGCGTCTGTGTGTGCGTCTGTGTGTGTGTGCGTCTGTGTGTGTGTGCGTCTGTGTGTGTGCGTCTGTGTGTGAGGACAGGAATCTTTTTATTTAATCTTGCTGTAAAAAGAACAAAAGTAAATCCAATTTACTGAATCCAATCTGACACGTCTATACTGGTTTAAAGTATTAGCGTGTGTGTGTGTGTGTGTG